CGTTTGTTATTTATAACATTTTTTAGTTTTTTATGTTTTTTTAGAAAAATAAGCAATCAGAAAGTACAGTTTAAAATTTAATCATCATCATAATGGCCACTTGAACAACATTAACGATAATGCTAAATGATATCCATTATAATGAGTTAAAATAAACACATTTCTGGTCAGTGAAGGGTACTTGAGCCTTGCTCATGGGGCTTTGGTCGTAAATATGACCAAAAAAAAAAATAGCTTGAGATGAGTTTGAGGCAGATATAAAGCATGCATTTTTTTCTATTCAGGTGGTCTTATGATCATAGATCATAAATCAAGAGACCTTTCTGACCCAGTACCTTTCAGGAGAATGAGGCCTGTGACTCCTCAAGTAATGGCTGTTTAGTATCATCTAATTTCCTCATGGTGTTATATTTTACCTCACTTATCAGCTTATTTCAGATAGCTGCAGAACTTCTTATCCCACGAGGCCCGTTTTCCCAGTGTCCCATTGCATTCATCCTTGATTTGTTAAAAGACCTGGGGTTCTGCTAACACTCTCTTGCTCCTCTCAGGCAGTTAGTAGTCTCTCCTCATCCACTGTTCTTCAGGGACCGGCCCTGTATATGCGGGACAGGGGAGTTCTCCGTTCTGCTTTGCAGCAGGGTGTTCCTTCGAGGCCAATCTAAAGAGTTCCTTAAGAGAGACAGAAGGAGGCAAAATGAGGTAAAGACCATAAGGTTAGACAGAGTGGTCTTTGTTTGAAATGTGAGGTGTCACACCTACAACGTGTAAGGAAGGTATACTGAGACAACAGTAGTTCATTTCTGGGCCTGATGCCTTTTCATTAGCTCCCAGTCTCATAGGAGGAGTATCAGAAAGGTGCTTAAGAGCTTCCCTGTGGAGTCTTGGGTGTTTTGATAATGAACAATAATGTGTGTTTTGTACTGTTCTTACTTTTGAAGGAGATCAAGGATGTTTAAGTACTTGGCTTTGCGAGCAAGACCAAAAAGCACTGTTGTTGAAAACATGAGTTTAGACCTGCATGAATTTATATGCTGGTTGAGGCTTGTTTATGCTGGTTAGTGCTGGTTTGGTGCTCGTCTAGATGGTGCAGTTCACCAGCCAAACCAGTATGGTCAATGCGGTGAAACTTGTTGAACAAGGAAGTCTTGTTTGAAGAAAATGTTAAAGGTGCTGTATGTAGGATTGACACCGAGTGGTTGAACTTGGGATTGCAGTCCAAATTCAAAATAGTGGAGAGGGTTTTTTCACCCGGCCCCTCCTCCTCAGACTTGGCACACACGCAGGTTGTCAGATTGACAACACCAACAGGAGCGAGCACACTTGATGATGAATGAAATTAAATACGCTGTGTTTTCCACCAACTGGCAACCTGGGGTGCCGAAATACAATTGGGCAAACTGGCAGTGGGTTGGTTTCACAAACCAAAACAGAGACCGACATTCCGGCCTGGAACACACATTTTCACAGGAGAATAACTGACTGTAGCATTGTTTTTCAGATAAACAAGTATATTAACTTAGCAGGTTTCTTAAATATCTGCAAACATATTATGGTATTTTTTAGGGCTGCACGATTATGACAAAAATCATAATTGTCGATTATTCCCTTGAAATTGTAATTGCGATTATTAATTACGATTATCACAATTTACATTGAATGATGTTTATACCATTGTTTGATGCAACTGCATGCCGTATTTTTATATGAAAATAAACAAGCTGAAAACACTCTAACTGAAAAATAAAATATAAACTATTATAAAAAATAAATTATAAAAAAAGTAAAAATATGAATGGTATTATAATGTTATACTAAAACTAAAATTAAAACAATGGAAAAACCCTTAAGATAACATGTAGAAAGAAAAAAAACGAATCTTAAGCACACAGAATAACATAAGTGGACTTTGAACGATTAATTGCCGCTTTGAACGATTACGTAATTGTGGCATCCATAATTGTAATCGCGATTAGAAATTCGATTATTTGTGCAGCCCTAGTATTTTTATGCTTTAGTAGAGTCAAAAACTTACATACAGCACCTTTAAGTGCAGATATATATATATATATGGGGGGGGGGCCCATTGGCTGCCCACTGCTCCGGGTGTGTTCATGGTGTGTGTGTGTGTGTGTGTGTATGTGTTCAGTACTGTGTGTGTGCACTTGGATGGGTTAAATGCAGAGCACAAATTCCGAGTATGGGTCACCATACTTGGCCACACGTCACTTCACTTAAATGTTTCATAAGCGAGAGACTGATACTGGACAAGTTACACTATTACATAGGGCTTAACTGCTGTCAGGCTACTGAAAATTGTAGTTAAGTTAGTAGCGCCACTACTATTAATTAGTTACTCCCCGCTGGTCATGTCAGCACAAAGCTCTCTAGTTGTTTGTCAAACTATTGTGTGCGTACATTACGGCTTGAAGCCCTCGTGGGTAATCCTGTCCAGCACATGGGTTATACAATGGTCCGTCCTTCAGTGTTGGTGGCTGAGGGTGATGAAGTGAAACTGTTCCAAGTGACAGGAAAGTCTGAAGGCACAACCGTCCCTCGACACGAAACCAGCCTTCAGCACCCTTGCGGAACAAGCCAGCCTGGATGAAGTTTGTGAAAGAGACACCGGAGGGATTGGGAGAGCCGGGAAAACAATAGCATGAGCGTTTGGGATGTTTCTGGAAGGACCTGAGGAAAAGGCTGTTCAAGGCCTCAAGAAGATTACTGGCGAGTGAGCCAGCAGCCGACCAGCGAGAGGAGTGTTATTCTGCCAGCTCATAAAACACACCAGGGGCTGTATTTCTTCCATTTTCCCCTCCTCAATCCCGCTGTTTGTCTCCCGCTAGCTCGAGTATGTGCCGCAGACGGTCTTTAGAGCTGTCATCACTGAACTCTGTAAACCTGTCCTCATGTGACGGAGGTCAGGGACCAGAAGACAGCGGGCTGTTCACCTCACGCCACTGGGAGCTTTCAGTCATTTTTGTACAGCTAGTAAAAATGTTAGCGCTTAGCTGAAAGACTTCACTCGATGTGACAATGCTGCTTTCCGTTGACATAATGAGTCTGTGGTGGTGGTATACATTTTCATGGTTTCATTATGAGGTGTGGAAGGATCATCCAGCTGGCCCTGAAAGCTTTTAGAGGTCATGTGACCATCTGGGGCCTTTGCAAACTTTATGACTGAAGGCCTCAAGCCTTTTGAGAATGGAAGTGCAGTGTGTTGGGTTCAGTCATAGACTGCTGTCCATTTCTGTTTTAGGAAGGTGATATAATTTCATTCAACCCTATTCTTTGTGTGGGTTTAGTGTGCTGGAAGGGTATTTGTATCCAGGGCTATGAATTAGAGACAGTCACATAACAGCAAATCAAGCACATGCAGAACCTCATTGTCTCTCTTGCTGTTCAAAGAGCCATTAGTATTAAAGCTGTGGTTTAGTAAAACATATCTAATGGATTCTGCTTGAAAATAATAAATTGCATTTAGTTCGGAGAGGGAGTCATTTAGTCGGTGTGATGTTAGGGCACAAGGGTCACATCTGTGATTTTTCCCTCGCATTCCCTGAGCATGAATGTTGAAACAAAAACCCTGGTCTTCTGGGTATTAAATCTTTAAATCTTGGAGCTTAAATCTTTTTAAAATCAAAGTTGGAAAGAATTTAGTTTAAAATAACTGCGATGAAGTGCTACATCGTTGATGAGAATGAGAACTATCCTTTTAAATAAAATAAGAAATAAGAAACTGAATTACAGATATTTAGCACATAAATACAGTAAACATCTGCTACAGTTTAGTCTATGTAAAAACACTGACTGGTCTGAGACTAAACAGTCAAAACTAAATCAGTTGGACTGAAAATTTCACATTACAATTTTAATAGAGAAATCACTGTTTAGTTTGACTGAAATGTATCATTTTAAAGTGAATGTAAACCTACAGTTAGGGCAGGGCAATACATTTAAATCTATGTTTATCATAAAAGTAAGTCCATGACATTGATGAAAAATGTTAGTAATTTTCGATATTTAACCTACACTACACATGCAATACACTAATACACATACACTACACATGTGTGATGCTCATGGTATTTTCAGCATCTGCTGTCTCACTTTACATAAACTTCATATCCAAAGCTGTTCTTACAGTTCACTTCATGAGCTGTTTCATTTGTTAACACCTATGGTCAAATACACGCTGCAACACAAAGGTCTTCACAACAAACAACCAAAATAAAAGTCCAATTTAACTTGAAATTATGACAGAAATATATTATTATTATAAAATGTACCTCTCTATGTAATAAGAATAATTATAAAATTCATTGATTCATTGATTCATTCATTCATTCATTCATTTATTCATCCGTTCATTCGTTCGCTCATTCATTACTTCATTTGTTTATTTGTTTCAAACAACCATGTTTTTTCCATATTTTCCATGTTTTTATAGAGTATACAAGTATACAAAAAAGAAATGTAAACTTTAATTGAATTCAATTTAATTTAACATTTCTTAAATGTTTAGAATTTTCATTAATTTCACAAATTTTATTTTATTTAATTTTTTAAATTATTATTATATCTTAAAACACATAATCCAAATAATCCAAATAAAATGGAAAACACAGAATTTGGGAAATAATATCTAATTTCATGGGGCCCTAAATTAAAATGTAATTTATTCTGTAGACTTTCATTGTAAATAAGCAAGTTATGCTTACATAACTGTAAGGTTTTACAGGTAACCAATTAAGCAGTGGGAAAGTAAAGTTGAACATCTTCGAAAGCAACTTAAATTTCAGTCTGTTTCTCACACATAGCTAGTGTATGACTTCAGAAGCACAACCGTGTGACATGCGTACCTGCATTAGCATGAGACAGATGTTGACCTGATTTACTTTTCCATTGTATGCTGTCTCTTTCTGGATATCCAGATGGATGCTAAAGCCACACTTTTGTTTTCCCTCCACAAATTTCCTTTCTTTGCACCACCATTGCAGGTGTTGACCATCTGGATTACGCTAATCTCCAGGGTAACAGCTGACCTGACCTGCGACGCTCTGCTCCTGCTCTCCACAAATCTTACAGGTAAGTCTCCATAACTGATCTTAAACTGATTTTGCTTTGTGGTATATAAAAGTTTAGATTTGGTTTGGGAAGCGTGGTCATAGATCAGTTACGCGGGTCAACTTATGGCACTTTTCCACTGCGTGGTACGACTCGGCACGGCTCGTTTATAATTAAAGGTTCCATATTTATATATAATTATTATATTTATACATTTTTTTATTTTTTTTTTAAATATTGGTATTTTTGTTACTGTATCTGGAATTTAATTCTACGTCAACACTTGTGGCTTCTCTCTGTGAACAAAAAACAAACATTAACTCACTTAATGTATAGATTTAACTTTAATCGGCACAATAATCTTTTTATTGCCTTTCTTTTAACCATATTATTATTGTAGCAAAATCCAATACCAACATCCAATTCATATGTATTGGTATATTACTACATAAACCAGTTTTAGTATACATTTGTATATATTCAATATTACGTCTTGAGTATTTTAAACTTGTAATTACCCTGTTTGGCAGTTAAATGTGTGCCTGATTAATTAACCAAAAGTATCTTAGATAACATGATTTATTGTGATTTAAAACATTTACAGATAATTATGTTTCAATTAATGTTTTAGCATTTTGAGTGTTTTGTTTGCTTGTTTGTGTTCAGAATGTCCAGCACTTGGGTCCTGCTACAGACTTTTACAAGAAACTGGCTCTGGACTGTTCTGGACAGCAGATCGGAGTGGATCTGTTCTTACTGAGCTCCCAGTACTCAGACCTGGCTACTTTAGGTACACATACACACACTTAACTTTCTCAGCTCTTATATGTGACCCAAAGTTGCGAAACAAGAAATGTTCTTTTCGTCTTGTGCAGCATGTGTGTCCAAATACTCAGCCGGCGGTGTCTTTTATTACCCGTCCTTCCATCACATTCACAATACGGCGCAGAGACAGAAATTTCAGAAAGATCTGCAGCGATACCTCACCAGAAAGATCGGGTTTGAAGCCGTCATGAGGATCAGGTGCACCAAAGGTGAGGGGGCGGAGTTACACGAGCTAATTCTGTGCCACAATTGCTTTGATTGACACTTCCATGAACCAGTATCTGCAGGGCCCTGTGATTTCATGTCTCTTTTTAATGACACTTTCTCTGATTGGTCAACAGGCTTGTCCATCCACACTTTCCATGGCAACTTCTTTGTACGCTCCACTGATTTGCTCTCTCTGGCCAACGTGAACCCAGACTCTGGTTTTGCTGTGCAGATGTCAATCGAGGAGAGTTTAGCCGATACTTCGCTCGCTTGTTTTCAGGCTGCTCTTCTTTACACATCCAGTAAAGGTAATCAAGCATTTTTCGCATTTATACTAACCCATTTTTGACATGTTTACAACATCAGACCACTCCCACAAACTGAGTAAGATTTCCTCTGATTGGTATGTGTTTGATTGACAGGTAAACGTCGAATCCGAGTGCACACTCTGTGTCTGCCGGTGGTCAGTCAGTTGAGTGAAGTGTTTGCTGGAGCTGATATCCAGGCCATCTCATGCCTTCTGGCCAACATGGGTGAGTAGAATAAACACATTGACATTTTAAGTGCAGTATATTATGTCAATATATTGTGCACAGTGTCCTGTGTGTATATAGTGTATATATGTTGTTTTACATCACACTGTATTTATAGTAGGGCTGCCACTAATGTATATTTTTTCAATTCCAGTATCAGGGCTGATCTGAGGTCATTATTATAGGTTGAGGTCTAGGTTGGCATTGGATCATTTATAATTAAAATTTGGGCTTAATTGGTCACTTTTGGCTTATTTTTTGGGCAGATCTGGGAACAGTTATGGGTCATTATTAGTGATTATCTAAGATTAGTTTGCACCAGTATTAGGGCTGATCTGAGGTCATTATTATGGGTTGTGGTCTAGGCTGATACTGGGTTAGTTGTAATCATCGTTTGGGCTTATTTGCTCACTTTTGGCTTATTTCTTCGGCCTGTCTGGAATAAGTTATGGGTAAATCTCTTTATGCTAACAGTGCTACTGATACTTTCTGCTCCACTCTTATGGCGCTTTTCCACAGCGTGGTACGACTCGGCTCGACACGGCTCAGTACGGTACGGCACGGCACGGCTCGGTTTGCGTTTCCACTGCAGTTCAGTACCGCTTTAGAGTGGGCGGGATTATTCACATGGCGTTATAGTTGTGCCGCCTCTATTGCCGCGACTCCTGAAAAACTTTTTCATTCCGCGTCGCCCCATCAAGCTCTCGCTGGATCCGCTCCTCTGCTATCAACGAGAGGAACGTCTGTACTTCCTCAACAGACAACGAAACAAACACTTTTTGGTTGTTAAAAAAGGTGCGCTTATTCAAAACAGTTACGTTCGATCCTTCGCTGGCTGTGCTGATTTAAATCTAGCGGTTCTGTTGTGTTTGTGTCGCAAGTTCAGTGATGTAACACTTGTTCAGTGACAAGGTAGTGACGATTCTCTCCGGCCAATCCGTGATCAGCAGAGTTTACAAGTCACGTTTTGGTAATGGTACGGTTCACTTGGAACCTCAACCGAGGTGGTACTAAAAAAAGTTCCAGGTACCAGGTACTGTACCCAGTGGAAAACCCCCCAAAAGTGAACCGTACCGAGCCGTACCGTGCCGTACCATGCAGTGGAAAAGCTCCATTAATGGCCTCTGGTGAGGCCCGTTTGAGGTATTGATAAAGTGTCAGGGTGGATGATGGGATTTGTGGTTAAGCTGCATATCACCAGTACATCTGAAAACGGGTTCTGTTGACCTTGAGAACCTTTACTGAACACATTTACAGGAGACTTTGGTCTTTACACATGTCATGCGTGAACCTGCGGAACACAAAAAGAATATATTTTTGAAAATGGCTTTGTCTGTTAATTGAGAGTCAATGTGGTACGATGTCATTTTGGACCCCATAGACTTTCACTGTATGCACATTCTTTAGAATATATTCTTTTATTTTCCACAAAAGAAGCTCATACAGTTTCACAACATAAGGGTGAGTAAATAATGAGCTCTTTAATATAAAATAATACTATAAATATTAGCAGTGAGGCCCTTAAGCTGAGTAGCCCTGGTTTAATGCTTTTATATTCTGAACTCTGAACTCATTTTTCCATATCGCGAAAGTGGACAGGGTGCAGCAAGATTTATTGACCGTGTCTCATGGGATACGAGACATTTACTTTTCAGTGTAGGCAAAACGTCATGCGTGACAAACATAACTGTTATTGCTCAGAAAAGGCAATATAAGGAGATAAAAGTTGTGATGGCTGGATTCAGTTTGTTGTTGTTCACGCTGCTTTGAAAAGCCCAAGACTTACTGGAGTTTATTTTGGTTTGCAGTTGAAGCAGAGGGGTAAATCGAGCACTAATGCAAAAATGCTGGAATACACTGCAGATCTGTTTGTATTCAGAGCTTTGCAAAGGCTTAGCGAGTGTGAATTGGTGTGAAACTCTAAGGGAAGAAGTAACAGATTTTCTATGTACAGTTTTTCACCTGCAAATATTATGTTTAATGAGTAATATTTGTAGTCTTTGTTTAAGGCTTGTGTTTTGTACACTAAACTGAGAAAATTGCTCTATGGTTGCTCTTTTATACAGTAGTGTAAGTTGTATGTTTCATTTGAGGATCAACTGTCTCTTCATAAAAAATTAAATAACCAAAAAAAAAAGAGACAAAAGATGACATTTAGCGACAGTTTAGAGCAAAAAAAAAAAAAAAACTAATGCAGATAGCATGCCCCATATAATTTGGTCTTGGAAAAACTTTTGATTGCAGACCATACCAAGGGTAATTGACGGTAACAAAAACCAGGGTCATTTGATCATTTAATTTCTGTCTAAATTTCAATGTCTGAGTTTGCATGGAGCAATTGGTTAAAATGTTATTTTAAAAATCTGAAGTAGCTGCTGGTATTTGACACAGAGGATGCTTGTTTCAGAGAGAAGAGAGCCCGAAATTTACTATGGCCATGTACACGCTGCAAAAAATGTTTGATTGACAGTTACATGCAAATATGGCTGTGAATTGCTTAAAATATTATTCTTTTTTGGAATACAGGCTTCATTCCTGAAAAATATCCAGCAACGATGCCAGCAGTTTTTTTTATTTTGTTATTGTTTAAACCTTTTATTGTTTTGTTTTCTAATTTCTAAAAGATCATAATTTAGAAAGTAAATTTTTTTCACATTTATTCTGAAATTGTATATTAACAATTTAAAGACTTAAAGGGAAAGTTCACCCAAAAATGAAAATGACCCCATGTTTTACTCACCCTCAAGCCATACTAGGTGTAAATGACTTTCTTTCAGACGAATACAATCAGAGTTATATTTAAAAATGTACTGGCTCCTTCAAGCTTTATAATGGCAGTGTATGGGGGTCAAGGTTTTGAAGCCCAAAAAAGTGCATTAGTCCATCATAAAAAGCACTCCACACGGCTCTGGGGGGATGCCAACTGTTTTTTTTTAACCTTTTGTTTTGTTTTGTTTTCTAACTTCTAAGAGATCACAATTTATAAAGTTAATTACATTTTTTTCACATTTATTCTGAATTCATATATTAACCATTTAAAGACTTAATTAGAAACATGGATGCCAACAGTTTAACATGTTTGATGTTAGTTGAACTTATTTTTCCTAGTATTTATTTTAGATAAAAAATGCTAACTTTGTTACAACATTTTTATATTGTCCACATAAAGCATCCAAAGTCGTTTGACCAATAATATGCAGGTATTGTATATAATCGACCAATCGTGGCGCGTGAGAAGGTGAGATCTACAGAGAACGATCAAAGCGATGCAAATACGTGCACGTGTTTGTTTGTTCTTTCGACTTGAAGCGTCACTGCACACCGATCATTGTATGACACCAAAGTACTGCAAGAGAGATTCGAAAGCAGCAGGAGCCGTCTGCTCTGCTCTCTATAGCTCTTGTGAATGTCATACAACGATTGATCTGCACGGTGCAAACAGCCAAAACCTAGATA